TTCACAGGAAGGAGGGCTGGAGGGTTATTTGTGGGGGTTTTTTAATTATAGCCATTACGTAATTAGATAACGGGTTGTAAATTCTTCAGATTTAGTCACATGGCAGGTAATGAAATACTTCTCCACAGGTCTATATTGCCATTAACTGAATAACGTTTGTCACTTGACATATAACTCCACAATTGTGATTACGGCACCTATTTCAACTGGGAAACTAAGGCAGATGTCAACCAGCCCATTCGAAAGCACACGCTCCGACCAAGTCCTGCCACGCACACCTCCCTGCAATCGCAAGATGTAGCTCTGTAGTCGCAGAGATAAGAGCAATGGGAGAGCCCTTAGCTATTTCTCCCAGGTCCTATTTTCCAGGCTTATTATTATTGCAGTACTGCAAATTAAGGAGCATGCATTGTTGAAAAATCCAGACTATCAAACAAAAGCGTGATCAAGCCTGAGTGAAGCATGCTGCGGATATGCATTTTGTAATAGTGCTAAGCTCAGAGAGCAAATAGCTCTGGTAACTGAGATGTTTGCCCTCAGTGTGCTCCAATAAACTGATTTACCTTTCTTCTTTTTTTTCCCCCTTTTTTAAAAAAGAGCTGACGCAAGTTTGTCAAAGGGAGTTGTTGGGGTGTAGCAGCTGTTGATTGGTTCATCTCATACACTCCCATTTGTCTTTAAATCACTGTCCAACTGCTCTAGGTTGCACATGAGCCAACTTTTCATTACAGGTGCAATTCCTAAAAGATATAACCTGCCTAGCAAGCCAGCAAGAGAACCTGCTTGACTCAGAGGTAAACCTAAATTTCTTTTCTTTACAATGCTTGATCAATATATTTTAGACATTGACCACGTCTTTTAAAATCAAGAATTAGAAATTTAGTTAATCTGTAAATGTAAGTGCAATGTGAAGTATGGGCTCCTTCATATTTACTGGCATGGTAATTTATATTGGCAAGTATCTTTGGTATTTCTTTGGGAATGAAATTTAGTCTTTTTTTTTTTTTGTTTGTACAGCAAATCAAAATCTAAGCAACCAGAGAAGCAGCAAAAGGCGTTTAAAATTGACCAGGCAACTAAGAAATGAGTGCTTGCTTTTGTTTTTAGCCCTTGGCTAACATCTAATACTTTTTTTCAAGGCTCTTGATTTACTTGGCTAACATTTCCGTAAATAAATGAATTTGTGAAAGCAGGCTTTGCATTTTAATTGTTTATTTCACAGTGAAAATACTTATTTCATTTTGAAATAGCTGTGCAGACAATAATATTATAAATTCACTATCATGAAGATGAAGAATCTGCCAAAATCTGTTAAATCAGACACCATGGCAGAGCTTACAAATCCTGATAGTGCAAAACCTGTGAAAACATTAGTCGTGTCTGTGACCTGGCATTATTTGCCCAATGATTGTCCATTCTCTTAATGTCCGAACTGCATTCTGGAGAGAAATCAGTAATTTTATGAAATCAGATGCCAAAAATTTCATCATCTTCTGAGTAATTTTGGAAAACCATTATTTAATAAATGATCCAGAACAGTGCCCTATACTTGAGAAGAAAAATAGTTTTATAGAGATAAATAACTTCCCCTAATAATAGGTGAATCTCTTTTGAAACCAGTATTTCTGGTTTAATGCCATGATTTAAGAAAAACTTTTCTGTTCAGTCAAATGCCACAGGAGGCAGCAAAACCATCACCATATTGAAGCCAAGTTTAAGAAACATTGTCGAGCTAAGATATTTTTCTTGTATGTAAGCATAAGGGGAAAACATATTGATTTTAACTAAGTGGAAGGAAAAAGAAGTGGAGAGCTTTTTTGTTACTTCCAAACTTACAAAATTCCTCTGTAGGAAACTGAAGCCGGAGAAGTCACGATGGGTTTGGATGCCTAAAACAGGGTTTAGGCACCAAATTCAGAGCTCTGAAGCAGAATGCATTAAATCCCAGGGAACCTAAAGCAGATGAAATTTAGTGATTCTCCTCCAATATCATGTGCTAAGCTTCTGGCAGGCCCCAGGTCTGCCTGACCTTGTTGGCCCTGATGTGTCATGCCATCACTGCCCTGGTGCCTGGCCATCACCCAGGAGCAGCTGGCACGAGCCGCTGCAGGGGTGCAACCGGGCACCCATCTGCTGGCCCCGGCAGTGGGCCTGGGCATGGTACAGCATGCAGCTGTAGTCAGTATTTTATTTTAAACAGAGCCAGCTAGTGTGTCCCCCTTTTCTAAATAATATCTCACAGGTCAAGCAGTGACCCAAGAGGGTCAGGGCTATCCCATTTCCTCCACAGAAGAGGGGGTAGCCATGCCCCTTCTACTTGTAGGGAACACACTCTACCAGTATGCTGGACTTCAACATCCTCCCAAGCTCTTCAGTACCTGCAGCATTATGAAACTGAAGATATGGATTTCCACCAACTAAGGACCAGCTCTGTCAAGTTCTGCTGAAGTTCAAAGACATCATTGGCTGTAATTACATTTATTAGTGTTTGCAGGATGCAAATCTAATACCGAACCAGTTTCATGGGTCTCATCCTGCTCACATTTATGCCAATGGCTTTCAGCTCACTGTTTGCAAACCCTCGAGGTCTACCAGCTGCTCACTAAAAAGTGACAGCTGCAAGAAACCAGCTTCTCGGCAGATTTAGTTTTGTCACTTGAGGCTTTGCACCTTCACCAGAAGACTTTTAGGAATTCACGGATTAAAAAAAAATAAATTGAAAATCACTGCTTTGCACAGTAATTCCACAGCCTCTTGATATGACACCTATAAATCAGATTACTTGTGTAAATGTTTGACAGGACAATGTCCAGATGATTCTTATGCTGTAACATGTATTTCCAGCTAATTTTTGCTCCTCTTTCTAAATTGTGTTTGCTGTGCTGCACAGACTTTCCTCCTCAGCCTAATCTCTGCGTAACTTAACTCCTGGCAACTTTTTTGCTTACTTTCCCTCTGCTTCCCAGCTCTTTGAAGGTGTGTATTTTTTGGACTGCCGCTTCTGGAAAAGACATTTCTCCGACAAGCTTTAGGCAATGTGCACAGGGGACATTTTATCCTTTTCCAGAACAGGGTTAAGCGCAGTCAAATTTATCTGCCTGACTTCTACACGGCAGATTAAAAATAAGCATCAGGAATTGGAAGGGCTCTGATCCTCAGACAGGGTAGCGTCTGCCTGTGAAGACAGTTCTGTGAATGAAACCACAGTTAGGAAGGCTCCATGGTGGGTTTTTTTTCAATATTTTTGTCTCCCGGAGTTATTCATATCCCGAGCAGACAGAACCCCCCGGCCGCTGGAATGCGAGTGCCGGCGACTCTGCCCTGATGCCACTCCTCACTCGTCCCCTCAAGCACACTCCCAGCGCAGCAGCAGAAAGGAATAAACACAGTCGCTTTCTCTGGTAGGAAACCTCCTAATGCACTGGGATATTGCTTTTCGTTTTCCGTTGTCTGCTCCGGTTGAATGTTTTTAGTAAGAGGTAAGGAAGCTGACTTTGGTTTCTGGCCCAGGGTCAGTTTTAGCCTCCAGGATTGATATTTAAAGTTTACATTTACATTTTAAGCCCATGCACTCTAACATTTTGCCACTACAGATACGTTTGTAGATGTTCTTAAGAACAGCATGTGATCGGTAGCAGAGGATAATGAAGGTCTAGTCATTCAGCGAGGACCTATATATCCATAACTGCAAAACCAGGAGAAATGCTATTAAATAATTGCAGATTTAGTGTCACAAAGAGCCAGACATATAAATTATTTGTTGTGGCATTTTTCTGATATTGTTATTACGCAGTGCTGGGCTGCTTTTAGCATGTGATATTTATGAAAAATGTAACAGATCCAGCCAGTGTGCCTGATTGCAAGGTGGCAGGTAAAGTGCCAGGAGTCTGCAGTTCTGGCCCCAGGTGTGCTACCTGGTCTGTGCTCACTCCCTTCACCAGTGTGCTCTTTCATCTCCTCAGCTGTGAAATGGAGATCATATAAGATGCACCAAGGAATATCTTTGGGAAATTAAATGTATTGTAAAACTGCAACATTTCTTGAACAGTGTTTTCCTCTTAAATCTGGGAATGGGAAAATGAATATAAATGTGTATCTGCAGGTGAGATTGTGACATAAAGCTGCTGAAATCTTGGAGGTGAAGTTCTCTTTGTAACTTTGGTCTATACAGTTTCCTTTGTACCATATAGAAATGGAGAGTTGAGCACTTATTCACATGATTTTTAAAAGGCAAGAACTTTTCTAACAAGGTTAAAGATAGTCTTATATCCATGTAATAATCCTCTGTGAGACACAGCTTCCAGTCATGAGAAAAGTAAGAATTAAACACAGATATACTGAAAACCAAAAATTGCTGTATAAGAATTGTACCTCCTAATTATCAAAGGAATGATCAGAGATGTTCATCTCTGTCAGATCCCAATGAAAGGGACAAATCTTCAAAACATTTAAATCTATGACAATAGCTATCTTATAACAAATTATTTAAAACACCAAGCGTTTCCTCTAAGTTTATGTTTTGAAGCAGTGACAGGAAAGCCCTGATGTGCTCTTTTCATTTCTAACAGCCAGAGCTTCTGCATCACCATCCCTTAGAAGTTCAAAAGCTGCATTTCAAGAAATTATTTTCTTCTGGTTTGGAAATTTTGCCAAATGCTGGGCATCCACTCTGCATTTGCTGGCCCCCATGCTCCTTACTTTTTAAAGGAAGACAGAAGGACCAAGTGCTGGCATATAAAGGGACTTTATCCTTGCTCAGAATTTTCCCAGTCTGCAATGGTTTCCCCTCTTAATGCTATTACAAAGAACAAACACAAATCCAACAATTCACACTGGTTTATCTAATTTGAGGAAAGCTCTAATAAGTTCCATTGTGTTTTGTTTGCAGAACAGAGTGTTCCGGCAGTCCCCGCGTGGTAGAGAGGACCCGCAAGCAGACGGCGCGGTGCTGTTTACCCTGAAGAAGTGAGTGTGTGTGCTGGAAAGCGCTGACCGCTCTAATGGATCGCATGGAGCTGCAAAAAGTCAACATCGAACTTGACAATCAGAGCAACAGCGGGGAAAGCCTTGAAGACAACTACACGGAGCTGGTTGATTCGGAGAGGGCTGCCATTCGGAGGTAAGCATTTAAATGGGGAGGCTGTTTTGTTAAAGCAGTAACCCAAGCCTCGCTAACGGCAACTGGGCAATCTCCAACCACTCGGATCAAATAGCACATGTGTAAATTCATACGCTCTCAGGGTAGTGCAACCTGAGCATGCTGAGAGGGGGAACGCTTTCCAGGGCAAGGTATGGAGGGCAGCAGCTCAGTGCTCCCACAGGGACAGCCCACTCTCAGGCATCTCCAGCAGGACCCACCATAGCACCAGCACCTGGGTGGCCTGAGAAAGATGACTCAAAAGCAGCCATCAGCCTCCAGCTCTCAGCTTGCTGAACCCCCCAGCACGTATCTCCAACACGGCAGTTGCAAGGCACGTTGTTCCTCAGATGTGAAGTACGTGCTCAGCTCCAGCACACTGCTGGCAGAAAGGAATTGTTACTTTCCAACATCTGCAATCAGATATAATTTGAAGATTACTGGGTTTAAAACTAAATTCCAAGGCAAAGGAAAGATCTATTAAACGTGCCATTGGACATGAGTATCTTACAGGAGAAAAGAGTTCTTCTTCTGAATTATTTTTAAATATTCATTGCAATGCCAAAGGAAAATTTCACTAATGACTAAAGGCACTGCTTGAACATAATGTGTGTCATAAGCCTTATCTAATACTTTCTTATTTTACTTTGTGTTCAGGCCATTTGCTAGTGATGATGCAGAAAGTCAGAAGTTCCTTACAAATGGATATCTGGGTGAAAAGAAATTGGAAGACTATAAAGAAGAATATGTAAGTTTCATTCATTTTTAAGGGTAATTACAAAGTAAATCTTATTGACCTGAATCTTTTTTCAAAAATTTCAGTAAACAAAGCTACTCTGAAGCTGGATCAGCATAATCTTGGCTTTGGAGGAGTAAACACATTTTCTAACAGTTAGTGCAGCAATCTCTGTCGTCTTGCAAGTAAAATTGGATCTTTCTTTCACAAGTAATCAGAGAAATTCCTCAGATCATATTTGGACTTCAGTAGCACCCATATCATCTCACCCAAGATGTTCAGCCAGGGATGGATCTGCATCTCTATTTCTGCCAGGAGATTTGGTTCAGAGGAACTTTGTCACTCCTGTATCAAGGTTGAGCTGGGCTTTGATGCATGAGTGCTTGTATTGTTTGTTTCCAGCATCAGTGTAAATGAATCCACATCCAGCTGCATTGCTTTAAAGGAACGACATTCATGTTTGGCTTTATAATGCTGAACATTACACATTCAGTACACCTCCAACAACATCTTTAGACAACTCCATGTCCAAGTGGAAGCACAGTATCAGGCCCTGGAGGGTGTGTGTGGGTACCTCTGTGCTCAAGATTTAACTTTCTTCAAAGTTTTTGTGAACTTGGTGCAAAGAAAGGTATAATTTTATTGGTCATGTTACAGGTTTTATTAGGATTGATCAAATAAAACCAAACAATATTATTTGTGCTTGCAAGGTAAAATTAAAAGTCATATTCCCCCATTTTCCTTTCAATTTTGTGGCAGATGTGACTCCTTCACACATCACCCCTCCTAGCTTTTTGTCCCCTTCCACTCTCTTGCTTCCAGCCTGATCTGCACAGTGCTCCTTTCTTCTTCTTCTTTTCTCCTCCAGACACACTTTTAGTTCCCCAAAAGAAAGAAGCGCATCCTATTTGGAGAAAAATTCAATAATCAGTTGGATTAATTTTAAAAAATCAACTGAAATTTTTAAATCAATAATTAGGAAATACGTTAGATAGCAGCATGTATTTCTATCAAGGCTGGCCAATGCAGCCAGTTGTGGCTATGTCAGCTCTGTGGCCTATCGGGGCTGTAGCCCTCCTCCCCACCGAGGCAAGGGGAGAGTGGGAAGAGGCAAACGCCTACCAGCACAGCTGGCTTTGGGGGTAAAAGAGACTCCTTATGGTAGCAGGCACATGTGGGCTCAGCAACCTCGACAAGGCTGCACCTCTAAGGATCAAGGGAACAATACAGAGAAAAACAGCAATGAGGACAATTAGTCTGTTGTGCTCAGTAAAATGCAAATTAACTGCCATTTTTTTTTTTCCTGCTCCCAACAGCACCGGGGCAGAGCTTCCTTTGGAATGTCCTCATTCAACCTCAGCAACGCCATTATGGGCAGCGGCATCTTAGGGCTCTCCTATGCCATGGCCAACACGGGAATTATCCTTTTCATGTAAGTACATAGAAAGAAAAGTAAATAGAATATAAGCAGTGAGCTGGAGCTAAAATTTTTGTGGTTAGAGAGGTACGTTAAGCTTGTTTTGTTAGCTGAAAAGTTTTATAAGATCATCTGTAATGAAAACATTTTAGCTGCACCACAAAGAACCGTTCACTGCTGACAAACCTTTTTTTCTTTTTTTTTTTTTTATTTTAGCCCTGTTTTTTATCAGGAACACAACTGTGAATTGATACTGTGCAGTCAAAAACCAGAGGGGAAGAACACTATACTGGTCCTAAAATAACAACAGCAATCTTGCTAGTTCTGTATGGGAATTCAACAAGGGAAATAAATCACCCATAAAGTATATATTTACATCATCCCAACAATCTAATCACTATGTAGAAATAGAAGAAAAATACTCGATATAAATCTGAAATAGCAGCATGCTTTGAATGCAAAGGCATTCACAGATTTATTCAGATTTCATGTTGGTCCCTCAGGTCTATTTGTACTCAATGACCACAGACGACAGCAATGCTGACATACAGTATCTGTACAAAATGTTTTGACAGACAGTAACAGATAGCCATGTGAAGTTTTTTAATCTATGGCTAACCTTGTAAAAGGAGAGAGACAGTACCAAAAAAAAAAAAAAAAGGGGGTTTTCTCTTTTGAATAACTGGCTTTAATCTTAACTGAAGCCTTAATTTTAATCCCCCATGAGGCTGGAGTAAAGCATGACAGTACTGTATGAGAAAAGGCCGTTGTTTTACTTTACTGAAATCTAACAAGCTTTTAAATGCAGTTGCATGGCTATCTTGATACGGCTTCTTTCTTCTGGAAATTGTGCAATTATGATAGCAACAGCATTTGAAATGCTACATGTAGCTTCCAGTTGCTAAGAAACATCTCCTGTTTTGCCAGTAGAATTTTTAACTGAAAATTAATTGTAGATGCAAATGCTGTCCTGGATAAGTTCTTCCCAGCACCTGTGCTCTAATGGTTTGGATATAGTATTTGCAGACACAAAAATGGATGCTGATTCTAAAATTGATTCTAAAAAAGTCTGAAAAATGTAGGAATTTTTTTTCTTCAACTTTCTCTGAGCACTTGTACTAGCTATTATCGCTATAAATTATTACTGGAAAGAAAACTGTGGTACATCAAGCTTCACTAGGAAAAAAACCAAAACAAAACACTACCCTTGTAATATCTTTATTTTTAAGGCTCTGTTCCTTCAAACAGGTCGCTAAAAAATTCTGATATGAGCCCAATGACATTAGCTCTGCTGGCAGTGCTAAAGCAAGGAGTATTACTAAAGCCACCCTGTGGAGTCTTAAACAGCAAAAACAAAGGACGTTTCCACCCTGCAGCTCATTTTCTTTTCTGTCCTACATCTGTACTGTCTGCATGAAAACATTCGCCCTTCTAGTAAAGAAAACAGACTTATTTAAAAGTACTAAACTTTGTGGGGATATTGTTATGCCCATGGCATGCATCTTCTTGCCAAATGTTCCTCTATTTTCACAGATAGTGACATTGGCATTAGAAGGACAGAAAAGTCCCATCTGATAAATGGAAACTACTGGACAATAATTCTAATTTAGTCAATACTTGTAGTATTGTCTAAATTTTTGTAATTTACTGTTCTTGTGTTGCCCAAGTGTTCTCATGCTGGAAGATGAAAGCGTGAAGGCAGAAAAAGGGCTCCTAAAACTCAGAAGCTCTCCAGAAGTTCCCATTGCATCCTCCTCTCCTGTGGGGGAGGTTTGCAATGGCATGGAGCATGTACTACAGCGTCTCCTCTGCTGCCTGGTATGATCTAGCAATTGCAACCAAGATGGCTTTTGTTTACCACTCCTCATGTGTATGAGGAGTTTGCCACTCCTCATGTGTATGAGGAGGTCTCCACATGGAGACCCGGTCTCTGAATAACAGCTGCATGGATGCCCCTGATCAAGAAGGATGCCATCTTGGCAGGATACGCTGTAACCTCAGACATGATCCCCCCTTAACATGTTGCATGAATCCACAGCTGAGAGATGACCTTGCTTACATGAAGTCTGTAGTGTTGTCTGTCTCTCTTGGAGAAATAAACTCGAGAAAAAGGTGATGGTCTGGTAGCCACCACCTGGCCCCAGGGCCGGTTACAGTCTAACTCATTTCTGAACTTGACTGTCAGCATCTCCCATATCTATACCAAATCGCGTGTTCAGTGGACTGAAAGGTGTGGGCACAACCTCGTGTTCATCCATGGAGTAAGGCACATTGGTATTTCCTAGCTCTGTCATGTATCATCACATCGCTTTCTGTACCAACACTTGCGCAGGCTGATGACAAGACAGCTATAGTAATAAGGCAAGCTGCCCATGGTGTTGTGACCTGAAAATGTCATACCAGGCTGCATTCTTCACCAGCGTTCACAAGAGGCAGATAACTGAAACCACGTAGGATGGAAATATTGTGTGGAAGGAACATGACAGTAATCAGAGTAATCAGAATTAATTAATTTGGGTACCAATACCTTTGAGCAGACTAAGCTACAAGAGTATGATGCAAGTACTCCAAGAGCAGGTTTTCTGATGTCATGCTGTGCTTCGGCGTTATGCAAGATTGCTAATGGACTTTACAAAGTGGATATTTCAAGCTAAACACTTCGACTTCACAATGACATGGCAGAAGTCAAAAGTAGTGACTAGCCAGGAGCTGGCAGTGGAGTTGTCACAATCATGGTTTGGAGGGTTTTTTTGACAGCTCCGGATAATGAGAGAGATTAAAATAAGAGGCCAGTGAGCAGGTAAGAGACCAAAGACCTTAATCTTGCCTAGAAATCTGTTTACTTTTAGTAGGGTCTTGTTAAAATATAAGATTCTGTCTTTGTGGAATAACACAAAATTGGTACCTACCTGGACTTAAACGAGCCTTGAGGGGCTTCTGGAGTGTACAAGGTACAACTGCACTCACAAGTAAGCTGCAGTTGTCACATCCTGCATTTAGCACTGGGAGGAGTCTGAAGCACAAACTTGCTGAAAACTATTTACACATTCAACTTCATAAGAATGAGCAAGCATACATTCAAAGTAACTGAGTGTCTCTGATGTCCTGCTTGGATTTTCTGATTTCTGCTTTGCCTTGCAGAGTTCTGCTGCTCAGCGTAGCAATAATGTCACTCTACTCGGTCCACCTCTTACTGAAGATATCAAAAGAAGGAGGTATGAGGATCAGGCTGTGACTGACTAAGAGTCTCTACTGCATGCATGTGTTTTACCTTGCAATGCAATTCATCGAGCAAGTCCACTGCAGTGGCCCATGTTTCTTTTTTGGTTTGTGCTTTTTCAGGATCACTAATATATGAAAAACTGGGAGAAAAGGCATTTGGCTGGCCTGGGAAGTGTGGTGTCTTCATTTCTGTTACAATGCAGAACATTGGAGGTAAGGGGCAAAAGTTTTTAGAAAAATGTTTGCTAACTTTTTATGCTTTTCTACCGAACATAAGTGCTTTTTCTCCTCTGTTGGGCTAAAGGGCACAAGAGATGAGCCAAGTGCAGTATACACTATATTGTAATAAGGAAGGACAGGAGGAATTCTTCTTGCCTCGTTTCAGCTATGAGACACTTCAGTGTTTGGTGAAAGCTGGTTGCCTGGGATCTCTCCATGACCAGTAGAGACTTCAGTGAAGGCTAAAACGCCTTGACAGACTGCCGAAGGAGTTGGCCATTTCTCCTCACTGACTACGGCTCAGACTAGACATCATCTGCTTCAACTTAGAACAGATTAATCTTACCTACGAGGACAAGTACATGGTTCTGACTTCTCCGTAAATGAAAGGAGTTCATTTTCCAGCTGAATTCTGGAGAATTCTGGAGAATGTCAGCCTTTCTCTGCTTGAATTCATTCTCTTCTTGAAATGACAGTTGGATTGGGATCTGTCTAAGATTTTGAATGTTTAAGAGTGACTGTTGAAAGTATTCAGCCACAAAGATACTTCCTGTGAAATATCTACCAAATAACCTCTCTCTTCTCAGAACAGGAGACTGCTTACTTACTGACGTAAGCAGTAGGGGTAACAATTCATCTTCAGGCAACAAAGCGTATTTCCTTTTACTACTGTGGGAGAAGCCTTTTAGGAGACTGGAGAACACCATATCTGAAAACTCAGGGGAGTTTGTAATTTTTTACAGATTTCTTAAGGAGTGGCAGTTGAAATATAGATTAAATGTATCATTCATCAATTAAACATATGAAGATTTTTTTGTGATCTCTCTCTTGGAACTTGGTGTGTTTTGCAAATCTCTGTTGACAACTTTGCTAGCCAGAGAGAGGTGGTTCACATCTCTCTACTGCAAGACACTCTTTTATTTTGTTCTTAAAACATCCTATTCCATGGTATTCTTTTGCTTCCTCAAGTGCAGATGTCAAATGTGGTTGAATTCAGGAAGGAAGTATGCTTCCTTGTTAGAGAGGAACACCTGTTCCTCTAGTCCAGTGATTTTCAGCCTCTTCTCTAGATCGATTCCTAAGTTTCCAGAGACCTCCCCGTGACCAATGTAAAATAACTGAAGAAAAGCATGCCTTCTGGCAGTGTATGTAAATGTAATGTATAGAAGTCCACCCTTCCATCAAGAATTTTGACAAATAAGGTTGGGGTTTTTTTGTGTATGGAGTAGGGTATTGGAAGAAAGAAGCTGAAAATAGAAAGGATAAGGTAGACGAAGACATTTAGAGGCAGCGATAACTAAAGTTACTGCAGAGTGTAGATGGACAGTGTTCATTGGAAACCCAACATTTACAACAGAAAAGCAAAAGGAAAAGTTAAGAATGTAAATTTCATCAGAACAGTGATTTGAGTATGTTGTTAATTCAGTAGTAACTCCATTGTACTCTAATACTGAATACTAGGTGTCATTCAAGACGTGCTTATAAAAATATCAAGGAAATACACCTTCTATTTAGTCACACTGTTAATTGAACAAAATTCTTTTCTCTATTTTAGCGAAACCTGGTTTCCCAAAACAATGTGTTTTTCATGCAGCATTAATGTTTTTTAAACAAATTAGTTTTGTTGGAACTACACTGTTTTTTTCTGAAGGTGTTTGTTGTTTGTTTCAGCAATGTCAAGCTACCTCTTTATTATTAAATATGAACTTCCAGAAGTGATCAGAGCATTTATGAAACTCGAGGAGAGCTCTGAGTAAGTACCTTTGCCTAACCTGAACCTGAGATGAAAATTTTTCACTTTGATGTCAACAACAATGATTGTTATTTTTTATTCCTCCTCTTTAGAGAATGGTACATAAACGGGAACTACCTCGTCATATTTGTAACAGTTGGGATTATTCTTCCCCTTTCCCTCCTAAAAAGTTTAGGTAAGATTAATGCCCCACTTAGCCTCATTTCTTATTTCTATTAGGATTGTGAATATATTAATATAATTGTTCAGTAGTGCTAATAAAAATTATATTATATTAAATTATATAAATTAAATAATATTAATATAAATTAATAAATAAATTAAATTATATTAACATAAAATTATAGTAGCTGAACTGTATTTTTTTCTTGCTGCACAGGTTATCTTGGTTATACGAGTGGTTTTTCGCTGACCTGTATGGTTTTCTTTGTCAGTGTGGTAGGTGACTGTTTGGGTATTGTCTCTAAGCAAATACAAAGCCCGTAAACTGTGCAACGCTGTTATATTTCTTACCATGACAATTTAATGTGTATGTTAGAATAGCTCCTGCAGGTGAATCATCAAATCAACAAGCCTACTGTTGAACAAAGCCAGAAAAAAAAGATTAGCCTAAAAAACAGCGCTTGATAATACAAAATAAAACGGAACGAGACAGACAGAGTAACAACAAATACTTGCAGGAGAAGAAGAAGTGGTAGCACTTGGTTTCTTCCTCCCTCGCTTTCCCCTCTCTCTTCTCTGTGCCTGTTTATATTTCTGCTGACATATCACAGGTGTAAGCGTAATCTGCTATGGTGGTACTCTTCTGACGACATTGTCTACTCTTTTGCAGGTAATCTTCAAGAAATCACAAATACCCTGTCCTCTCCCCATCATGGACCATGGAGTTGAAAACTGGACCGTCACCAACAACACAGTGCCAATGCATTTGGTCATGTTGCCAAATGATTCTTTCAGTTCTGGCGTGAATTTCATGATGGACAACACAGTTGGGCACTTGTCAGGCCTTGAAGAGCCAAGAGATACCTCCCCAAAAAGTGGTGTAGAATATGAAGCACACAGCGACAGTAGTGAAATGTGTCAGCCAAAATACTTTGTGTTCAACTCACGGGTAAGGGAGATTCTGTAGAATTTGTCTTTAGCTATTCATACCACAGCTAAACTGCTGCCTGCCAAAAGTCAGAGGTACAGTAGTGACCATTCTTACTAATGGGAGCTTTATTTTACAGACTGCCTATGCAATACCCATCCTGGCATTTGCATTCGTATGCCACCCTGAGGTGCTACCAATATACAGTGAACTGAAAGAGTAAGGTTCTTAAATTTTGTCCCATACTTCCAGTTAACCATAGTTAGAGATCACTTTCTACATGTTCTGCCTTGATCACTGGTGTGTAGACACCCACATGCTAATGATTTATTGCTTTCCATAGTAAGCAGATATTGGCTTTGCTTCGACCTAATAGTCAGATGCTGGTGACAGAGAACCACTGTTCAGATAGTTCCATTGATCAATATTTACTTAGGAAAGGAGGAATCTGGGCAGTCCTTCGAATGATGTGAAATATACTGAGGAACTTGGTTGCACTGAAACAGATAATTCTGGTTTCTAATAATATCTTAATGAGTTCTGTGTCTGGGCCAGCTGCTGTTTACTCTTAAGGTTTATTGGAATGTCATTGGTTTGGCTGTCTTACATAGGTACTTCACCCAGCCTATTTTGCTGATCAAATACCAAAAATCAAATACACTTGCTTAAACCAGCAGAGTTGACAGTTGGGAAGAGCTAAGAAAATGCATTTGTTCAACAGCAAGAATTACATTACAGGAGGTTGTGCTGCAAAACTCAAGGAGGCCAAGATCCCATTACCTCCTATTTCAGCAGGTTTATCCTCAGAAGAAATAAAAATTCTCAGATGACTTGGGAACATGCTTCCAGGTCCTATAATCTGAAAATTTTCTTACACCAAATCTTTAACCAAAGGATTCTTAAAGAAAGGGTTTGACCTGCAGGAGGTTCTTGAACCTGTAGAACAGTCCTATATAGATATAAGGGTATGTTCATATAGAGCTGACTGAAAGCTCTTGTCTATTATTACTACGAGCCCTGTAATTTTAGCCACTCTATTTTTTCTTTAAAATACACCATTTGAGATAGATAGTACATAAATAATGATACACAAAATAATGTGGCACATTTATACATTGCCACTAAGTAAGCAGTAGAAACGGAGTTTAAACACACTTTTATAAGTCTGTACTGTTCTGCACAGAGCTGCAAAGCTTCAAGTAAAGAGCTCTCTATAACCAATATAGTTGCTATGAACTTACTAGCCAGTGAGAGGATGTCAGTAGAGCTACGACTCTTCAGAGTATTTCTTGTACAGAGGCTTTATAAGAATAGCACTGTTACTCTCTTTCTCTCCTACTTCAGTCCCTCCCGAAAGCGGATGCAGAATGTCTCAAATATCTCCATCGCTGGCATGCTTATCATGTATCTTCTGGCTGCCCTCTTTGGATACCTTACCTTCTACGGTAGGTCAAAGCCCTGTTCTCTGCAGAATTTTCACTCTTATTTTAAAGCAGGCACAAGGCTCAAGTGTTCATGTATTTTCTGTGGGCCTGCATACAGGTGCGAGCACTATTTGAACATAATACGAAGTGTGCAACCTCCTGAATAAGTGGTGGGACTTATCCAGCTATCAAGCCACAAGTTCCTCGCTCGTAGGAGACTCAGAGGCACCTACTAAAGGGACCAGTTGTGTATCTCTTGGTCTTGTGAACTCAGACAACAAGCTGCTGTAAACTTGGCTCTTGGCAAAGGCCAAGAGCGACTGTACTAAAAATACTCTAGCGCTCAACAGTTTTACATGACACTATTAAGTGCTACCCACCTTGGCTCTGACGCCACCCGCTCAGCTTCACCTATGCTGAAAAACAGGTGCAAGTCATTCTAGTGTAAAAAAAATATGGATGAGCTTGACTAACCCACAGGTAAACAGAGTAGCCCCTGTACTAACACACTGTTTTATGCAAACACCACCTCTTTTTACCTTGTTAGTTCCTCCATTATAGCAGAGAAGTGAATTGACACAGGACAATCTGCTCTCTATCACTGGGGTAAGAGGGCTCTGTCTGATAGCTGGGACACCTGGGTGGAGGTCGAGGAATCTGTTCCCATTTCAGCGAGTTGATTCCTATTTTGTATCAGAGGAATTATTTTTACTTCAGGTTCCATATCCAGTTAATGACTTTGAGAAAGTCATTTGAGATTCTGGAGTACAAAGCATCGCCTCAGAGCTGTATTACCCTCATCGTCTCTGAATGATGGGCTTGTATCGGTCATGCTGGGAAAATTCCTCTTTCATGCCTAACCCATAGCATGTATCTGATGACAGCAGCTGGGCCAGGGCTAATCTTATCTGGCTGCGGTACAAAGATCCCTTTGCATGGACAGATATTGCTTAAGGGGTTTAACTCCCTTCTGTCTCTTTTTTGTAGGAGAAGTTGAAGATGAGCTCCTCCATACGTACACCAAAGTGTACACCTTCGACAGCCTCTTGCTGTCAGTTCGCCTGGCAGTGCTGGTGGCTGTAACCCTGACCGTGCCCCTTGTCCTCTTCCCTGTAAGTAACACACTGGGAGTAACTGTAAGTTACTCTGTCTTACTTTTCCCTGTAAGTAACTGACGGCTGGAGCTAAAGTTGGGGCTAGCCCGTATACGCTGGCTGTATGTACTTAGCACAGACTGATTTTAACACTGAAGAGCAGTCAGCTGGTGTTTTTATTTGAGAAGGTCTGTTTTCTCATATGCAGTTTGCCCAGAGCAAGGACCTTAGCTAGTTAGGGTTGCAAACTGTGAAGGACTGAAATAAATTCATCTTTATAAATAAATCAGGAATAAATCAGGAACAACTGCCCTGTCTCTCTCTGGCTTTATCTGTACTATATTTAACAGAGCAGCAGTGTAAGTGTTGAAGACTTGGGGATGTACTGAAACCACTCACGAGATTTCCTAAAACAGGCATAGGCACCTACGGCAGCATCCAAACTCAAGATAGACACGTGCAGCTCAGGCCACGCGCTGTGCAGGACTCCAGACCTGCCTGCCAAGGTAGAGAGGTGGAGGTCCTGCGCACGTCTTACATACTTAAGCTAAGTGCCAGAAAAACAGAGGCGGTCAAGACTCAGCCACATAGATGTCTGAGCAAAGCCTGGAGCTTCTAGGTGCCATTCACAGGGTAAAACGCAATGTCTGCAGGGACAGAAAGGCACAGTGAAACAAAACGCTCTGCAGGACTGACCCTCCTCAGGGATCAGTCCCCACATGAAGAGCGGACCTCCAGGCTCCTGAACATACAGAACTGTCCCTCGTGCTTTCCCTGAGCTGCTGCACAGCAGGGGATAAAATAGCTGACCCTTGTCAGTAATTTTTGGGAGGCTGGTGTGCCATTTGTATTGCACATACAAGCCCAGCGTCCTGCTGCTGACGGGCTCCCAACAATCTGCGTCACACCGTGGTGTTCCCGTCTGATGAGAGCAGTAATCCTGGGGTCCTGTTGTCCTGTTGTCCTGGATGCAAACACAAGCTCTGTGTAGGTACTGTTTCCAGGCTTGCTGACAAATACCTATGAGCAGGGATTACCATTCAAGGTTGTCTATGGAAAAAAAAAGTTCTGGTATAAAGCACCCTCCATCTAGCTTAGAGCACTCCGGTGCTCTGCCTTAAATGTCATGCTTAAACCAGTGGCTAAATGCTTAAATTAGTCTTAACTAACTGATTGCTCCTCATGGGAAAACAAGCTAAGGGCATTGCAAAAGCCTCTCTGTCAGATGTGCACTTTTAGCTTTCCGTATAACCATTTTTATACCTGAATAGTGTGCAAGGGCTTAGCAGTTACATACCACAGCACTAATTGCTCTATTAAAAGAACTGCTGAGAAAGTATCATTTGCTTGTATCAAACAATTTTATATGGCCTATCAGGACAGTCAGCTCAGCAGATATAATTACTTCAAATAAGCATCACAGTTGTATCAACTACTTTTGATACAGTTTATTCTTTTTTTAAAAAAAAAGGTTTTTTCAGTTTATTCTTTTTTAAAAAAAGTAAAAATCATTACATTGCTGAAAAAAAATAATTCAATATAGGTCTATGTACCACTAGTCATTGTAAAACTTTAGTCCAA